CAGGAAAGTCTGAAAGCATATTGAAGGACAGGACTAGTATTCAATCTTGAGCAACCAAAAAAATGGGTTGAGGAAATCACAATACACTCAGGTGAAGGCAAGTGCAAGTTATCACACTCAGGAAGAATGAACACACTGAGGGGATGATGCAAAGTTCTGCAGAAAATATCCAGGGTGCAGGGGATGTCAAACCAAAGTGGAGACAAGAATGTTGTATTGCCCAACAATTCAAAGGAGCCCAGTGCAGACCCAGGGCAAGGCAGAGGGAAGGGACACACCAAATAGGGAGAGAAGTACATTTCAACTGAGCTGCCAGATGTCTGAAATTCCTATAGAAATATACAGTATTCACTCAGACAATAACTCTGGGTAGAAAAAAAGGACTAAAGAGATGACGAAAACAATGTCTAAAAATGCATTATTGGGGATGTAACAAACAAAGACACTTTTTACTTGTCTAGAGAATAACCCTGATTTTTAGACTACATAACTTCTTCAGGTAAGAAGAAAAGCTAAAGCATCTTGTGCTTGTTTTGATCATGTACCTGTACAAATAAATATTTCCTCTGTTCTCAGGATGTTTTCAAAATACAAGCACATTATGCCTTTGAGGATGCTTGTTTTCCATTTTGTACAGAGAACACGGGAAAAGCATCCTCTTCTGCTCAGACTGTTCAGTTCTGCTCGTGTTAGCTGGGTCTGCCCCAGAGAGGCACTCTGTGCCGTGCAGTTAATCCTGCAGAATGTCTTGCTGGAGTACCTGTGTGATTTCATCTTTTTACTGTAACCAGGAAACTAGACTAACTCTGATTTTGTGATCTTCCATCTCCCCAGTTTCACAAGTGCTGCTCTTTGTGATAAATACGGCCATCAGTAATGCTTTTTCCTTGCTAAATAGCACCCTGAAAATAATAAAGATGTGTAAAAGACATTAATGCAAATGTGAAAAGAAACACTGAAACATTATTAATGCTCCCTAAATTTGAATATTCTAATTAATAGCTGTATCTGCCATGATAAAGAATCCACAAGACACAGGGCTTACATGGCTGAACTATGGCACCTCATAATATCCTTTGATGCTTTTAAGACATGCACCACCATGGTACTCAAAGAACTCCATGGCTGAAATTTATTTCAAACAAAATGCTCTGAATAAATAATTTGGAGTTGTTTAACCTCTATGACAAAAATCAATAAAACCCTCTTTCTTTTTCTACAAGATCTTAGTGAGTGGCAAGTGAAGACAACAGACAGAATTGGCAGAATGTAAGTCACAGAGTATGCATTCTTTTTGCAACAAACATATTTAGGCTGAAAATATGTGATTTACCCCATAATTTTAAGGCTTTGTATGTCATCCTGAGGTAAGATTGGGAATTGGAACTAGATGATATTTAGGGTCCCTTCCAACCCGAACCATTCTATGAGTCTCTAAGAGTTTTTCTCAAGAAATCAACATCATTAATAGTTTCTGTATTTATTAAAAAATAGTAATTTGTGTCCTGAGAATATCTCACTTATGGAAACAGTCACTGCCTAGAAAATCTATGCTTACTTCATAATAATGTATTTCAGTTTCCTTAGCGGTGTTTATGAAACTTTAATTAGAGATCAAAGATAATCTGAGGGGCAACACAGGGTATGTTATTTAAGGATACACTGTGTCAGACTGAAAATTAGTGTCCTTAAAGAACTAATTTCAAATAAACAGATGGAAAGTATGCAGAGCTGACAGGAGCCCTAAAACACACTGTCAATAATCTTCACTTATAGTTTGACCATATAGGATTGCAATATACACTATTTATATTGTAAAGTAAGAATATACTTTTTATTTCCCCTAAAAACATGACATATTTTTTATGAATTGAATTTCAGATTGACTAGAATAAAAATCCATCCTACCTGAGTACAGAAAACAAATTCTTTTGCAGTAGAAAAGAACAAAAAGTAATTTTGAAAACTTATTGGGAGAGGGAAATCCTGACACCAGTGAAGCTGGTGGAGTCCTATCAGTAACTCAAATGCACTGCTGATTTAATGTAAGCAGGCCAAATATGAGTAAACTATCAAAGAATGCAGAAGAAAACCTGACATGTCTTAATTACTGGGAAAAAAAAGAGCTGAGTACGTTATTTTACTTTGAACTACCATGTGCTTATTGTATCTTGAAATATTGTGCGCATGCATTATAAAATCATACTGGGAATGCTTGTGAGATTTTAATTTTTTTAAAAAAGGAAAAAAACAGTTGAAAAAAGCCTTTAAGACACAGCAGTTGATTCAGTGTCCTCCTCATGTGTCCCTATGTTCTTTTGGCTATCCATGAGACAAAGTGGGATTACAGCTCTGCAAAAGAATGAGGTGCATTTGTTAACTTCACAGCTCAAGGTGAAATGGCCATCAGTCCACATGTATAAAACTACTTGCTTCTAGAACTAGTTCAAATAGATGAAAATCCTCCATACAAACCACCTATTCTTTCCAAATGGGTTCCTCCAAAGCTGTGTCATTGCCTATAAATAACCACTATCATGTGAAATCTAAACCTTTCTGCCAGTAAGCAAGCACTGAGAAGAACAATGTATTATGCAAAATTAAATCATATGAATCATTTTGCAAAATCTGATTTTTAAGTGGGTACAGGCACTTCATATATTATTCAAAGAACAGAAACGTTCCCTTACCTATCATGCTATATTTAGGATTTTTTTTTATGATGGAGAAATAAAAGAGATGAAAGGATGGGGAAAAAAAAAGCAGTTGCAGAGAGACAAAGGGAGGCTTAGTCCTAAAAGAAAAAAAAAAATAGCAAAGTTTATTTCTAGGTGTCCCAGCTAATATGATGTACATAGCTATGGGCTAGTAGATCACGTCATGGATTATTCCTTTTCTCCCTTAAAGTGCAATTCTTGGAATTGTGTGGTTTGCAGGAGCCTCATTTTTTATGTTAACAAAAATTACATGGTTTTACCTCTTTGTCTTGCAAAAAATCCCACCTCTCCCCACTCTAAAAATGAACCACAAGGGTTCAAATGCATATACAAACTCCCCAGTGTATTGCATTTGATGGATGATGCATTTTGAAACAAACCTATCTTTCCATGTTTGATTTTCAAGCAGCTGTTCAAGGCCAGGCTGTACTGACCGGTGCTCAGCCTCCCGAAGGAGCAGCCAGGGTATCCAAATCTGGCCCTGGTGACACCACAGCCCCCCGAGTGCTGCTCCCCAGTGTCCGGGCACAGCCTGTGAGATGGGGGATGGGGAACTGAGGGCTGATGGACACAGAACATCCTGAGTTGGAAGGGATCATCACAGTCCAACTCCTGTGCACAGCAGGACCATCCACAAGAGTCACCACGTGGTGAGAGCATTGTTGGAACACTTGTTGAGCTGCCAGGCTGTGACCACTTCCCTGGGGAGCCTGTTCCAGTGCCCAAGCACCCTTTGGGTGAAAAACCTTTCCCCAATATCTGACCTAAACTTCTCCTGACAAACCTCCTCCCATTCTCTTGGGGATGACATGTTATGACACAGGGACACTGAGTCAAACCCCCACTTACCACCGTTCTGGCCCAGGGATTCCAGGACCCCTTGGGTCTCACCCAAGCAGTGCTGCACGTCAGGTACTGTATCCAGTTTTGGGCCTCTCAATTTAGGAAGATATTGGGGTGCTGGAGCAAGTCCAGGGAGGGGGAATGGAGTAGCTCAAGAGCACAAATGGAGCACAAATCTTAGGAGGAGCAGATGATGGAGCTGGGGGTGTTTAGGCCTCTGGGAGGGAAGGAGGCTCAGGGGTGACATTACAGCTCTCAACAGCTCTCTCAAATGAGGTTGTAGCCAGATGGGGGTCGGTTTCTTCTTCCAGACAACCAGCGACAGGATGAAAGGACACAGTCTTAAGCTGCACCATAGGAGGTTTAGGTTGGCCATTAGGAAGAATGTCTTCACAGAAAGTGTGACTAGATACTGGCATGGGCTGCCCAGGGAGGCGGTGAAGTCACCGTCCTTGGAAGTGTTTAAGGAAAGACTGGACCTGGCACTCAGTGCCATGGTCTAGTTGTCACGGTGGTGCTCGATCACAGGTTGGACTCGATGCCCCCTCAGGCCCTTTCCGGGCCGATCCGTTCCGTGGCTCCGTGGCTCTGAGAAGAGCTGAGGGAGGGAGGGGAGGAGGGCGGTGCCGCCCCCCGCCCCTGCGAAGGCGCGAGGGGGAGGGGGCAGGGCGCATGCGCGCGGCGCGCGGGGCCCGCCGAGCCGCCCCTGCCTGGTGCGCGCGGACGGGGAGAGTGTGGGCAGCGGTGACGTTATGACGCCGCTCTGCGCGTGTCGCCAGCCGCGCGACCCACGCACGGTCCGCCGGGCTCGTGCCTGCTCCTCCAGCCGGGCCGCCGCGCGCGGGCGGGGCGGAGGCGCCATCCCTCCTCCTCCTCCTCCTCCTCCTCCTTCTCTCCGTTCTCCTCCTCCTCCTCCCCCTCCTCTCCGGGTCCCCTCTCTGGCGGCCCGGCCCCTTCCCCTCGGCAGAGCGGCGCCTCCTCCTCCTCCTCCCGCTCCCGGCTGTGCCGGACAATAGGGGCGAGCGCGGCGCGTGTCTCCCCCAGCGCGGCCCCCGGCCCTCCATGCGCGGCGCCGGGCAGCGGGGCTGACAGCGGCTCCCGCCGGCGGCAGCGCGCCTGAGGGAGGGAGGGAGCGGCGGCGGCCGCGGGCTGAGGGCCGGGACTCGCCGCCCCGGGCGCTGACAGAGCCGTCCCGCTCCGCCGCCTCCCCCTCGCTCCCGCCGGCGGCTCCCGCCGGGCTTTGGCGGCGGCGGAGCACAAAGGCGCGGGGCCCGGCGCGGCCCGGCCCGGCCCCCCGGGGGGCGCGGGGGCGGCAAGGAGGCGCCGGGCCCCCGCGGGGCTTCGCCGCCCGTCCTTCCCCGCTGCGGCGAGCCCTGCGCGGGCAGGTGCGGCGGGCGAGGCCGCTGCCCCGCGGCGGGCCGGCGCACGGAGGCTTCGTCAATGGAAGTATGTTACCAGCTGCCCGTGCTGCCGCTGGACAGGCCGGTGCCGCAGCACGTCCTCAGCCGCAGAGGGGCCATCAGCTTCAGCTCCAGCTCCGCGCTCTTCGGCTGCCCCAACCCCCGGCAGCTCTCGCAGGTAGGCACTGCTGCTGGGCCCGCCGCCCTTGCGCGCCTGCACCCGAATACCGGCGCGGTGGCGAGAAAATGCAGCATTTAATATTTTTATGGCTAGTTATTGCCGAGGTTATTTATTTAGCATCGCTTGCGATGCGAACGGTGAGTTCCGTGGGGTTTATTTTTATTTCTACAGCCAGTGGGTTATTTTTTTTTTATCCTGTAATTTTTAAGCTAGGACTGTTTTTTATCTCTTTTATTAGCTTGGGCTTTCTTTGAAGGGTCCAAATTTCCTGTGGGGTTGCCAAAAGCTGCAGCGACTTTACTGAAATGGTGAACATGCACTGCAGTGTTTTATTTGGGATGCTCTGCTTTTTCTCTCTCCAAGTATTGAGGCTTGGCAATTTGTCTAGAAGAAGACAAAGATCCTTGGCTTTTTCGTTTCCACGGTATTGCTCCCAGCCCGTATTACATCAGTCACAATGTGAACTGTACTGTATTTTGTTTCATCTGATCGTGTTGGAAATACTGTGAAAAAGGTCATTATAACTCTCAAGACAAAAGGCAGGTTTTTCTTGTGAACACTGCCCTAAATTTCTGGATGTGCGTTAGTATGGTTTCCCAGCACCCAGTGATGAAATTATATTCTGGCGGAAGTCTCTGGAGAAAATCTGGAATTATGGTGGAAAGCATATGTTTTAGTGGAATCAGCCCGTTTTGGCTTCGAGGGATTTCCTATGTCGAGATTGAAAGGTCTATTTAAGTGCTGTGAAGTATGTTGTCCTTACAAAGATGTTGTCTTTGCATGTGTAATGGTAATTTTTTGTTCTTTACGTTTTTGGTGTATCTTACTAAGTTATTCTACTTTTTTTTTCATGACTTGCTGTGCTACACATACGTCTTTGTAGAAAGTACAGAGCTGCCAGTCGCTTTTGGCTTCCTCCCCTGTTCCGTAGCAGTGGAGCTCTGTGTGTGTGTGAGCATTAGGCACATGTAGGAAAAATCAACAAAATACTGTGTTAATGACCAGGAACTTGAATGCACGTGGAAACAATTATTAGCAAGCAGATGAAGATGAACATATGTTGGCAATACTTCCTTCCCTGATATACATGTAATAATTGCCAAAAAACTTTGGTTTTATGGCAAATTAATTTTCCATGGCAAAATTAATTTTTATAGCAAATTAAATTTTATAGCAACCAGGTTAGGATCTTTTCCATTTGTACTGCTTGTTCTGAGCTGTACTTGGTGATGGTGGCTTTTCCATATATATAAGTCCTCTTGAAGGTCCAACCTAATATAGCACATTTCGTTCTGTGGAGATGTCTCCCTTCTTTGAAGCATTCGTGGTTTTCTGAAAAGGAATAGGCAGAATGGTCAAGGTGATACATTGTATTTCTTTCTGTATGGTCTCCAGAACAGGTGGTGCATGAAGTGTACACAAGCTTACCAAATTACATCTGGTATTGACATTTAAAGCGCTTTTTCTTTAACTTTCAAGCTTCTCAATGAATTCCCTATTTTCAGGCTAGTATGCCGCTCAAAGAAGAGGTACTTGCGTAACCTGTAAAAAGGGAAAACTATGTGTGCTTAACCAGGTAATATTTTGTCTGCATAAACCAACAAGTAACCAAGTTTATGCAATAATAAGGAATTAGGATATTTAAGTGAGGAAGCCTTTGCTGTTATCCGACATCTGATTAGCTTTACCTTTTTTCCTCTTTCCTTGAAGTCTCCTGCAAACAATAGGATGTGAATAGGTCTGCCAGACCTGCAATCACAGGTTGGTGTAAATGACGGACTAAGAAGCATCACTAGTGAGGTTCGTGATTCTGTGTAACTTGTGAATGTAGCTTCACCTTACAAGTCTTTTGTAAGACATTCCAGTTTCACTTCTGTCCAAAGAGTGCTGAACCCTTAGCAGTTTGTCATTTTCAGTCTTCTGCTCCAGATAACTTTGAGCAATAGGAGTAGCACTGGAGATACGTACCCAAGGAGCTGGTATGTACAGCCAGCATTTTACAACTAAGAGACATTTAGCAGGTTTTCTTGGAAAATGTAAGGCCTTGAAAATTACATTCCCACTTACAGATTAAAAGTGACTTGACATGATTGAGTCATAAGATGTTTTAGGCTTATCCTTCCAGCAAGAAGGTATTTTATATGGGAAACATACATGAGATTAATGCACACTACATTAGACATAGCATTTAATTGGACAGACCTAAGCAGGCAAATATTTATCTCTTAATTTATTAAGTAGAATTTCAGTTTTCTTGAAGTTTCTCTGTATGGATTCAAAATGTTTTCAAAATTCAAAATGTATGTTGCTTTTTTAAAGCTTTAATAAAGTGGTGCTGGAAATGACCTCGAGGATTCTGGTTTACTCCTCTCAGCCCTAGGAAGGATAAATTGTACTTGCAGCATTATTGGCAGATGTTTGTCTAATCTGTTTGCTTAATCTATTTTTTAAGATATAGTCTTATGAGATGCAGTGAGTTGACATAACTCATTATTGCTGAAGGTTAAAAGCCCTGACATTGGGAACGTGTTATTACTGCTTCCTCTATGCCATCTCTGATGCTTGTCAGGTGTTTGCTCATTCAGTTCACTAAAACAGCACAAAACTAACCCAAGCAGGAAACTTGGTAGCTTCCTGCCATCACTTTGAGTAAAACAGGCTTATTGAAGTTTTACAGAACTGATTTAAATGAAAAGATGGTACCACTAGACTTTTGAAAGTCATAAAAGCTTTAAATAATAGAAATTACTCAATCTCACTAGTCAACTGTTCTTAATAGTGCTTAACACTTCTTGTCATAAAACAATTCTTTCTTAATACTGAAAATCTTAGTTGTGGTGATTTACACCTTTCACTGTATGCAGTAAATGTAGAGAAAGGCTTATTCCTTTTTGCTTGTAGTTTTCTTTTATGCATTAATGATTTCCCTGTAGTCTTAATTTTTGTCAATTTCAAAGTCTTTACGACAAAAATAATAAAGGTAACATCTGGAGGTTATTTGTGATATTTATTGTTTAAGTCCAGTCAGGTGAAAAGCTGCTGTTGTATGGGTATATACAAATGTTTCAGTTAATAATCATCTTTAAATATGAAATAATTTTAAGTGCTATTGTTAAAAGCTGGTTTTGAGGGCATTTGAATGTATAAGTGTTGAAAATACCAGGATATTTCACATTGATGAGATTTGAATTGAGGTTCACTGTGAGATCAGGTGAATGTTAACTAGTACCTTGGATCATACATTCAGGGTGTTCATTCCATTATCTTTTTCAAATTAAAGCTGAGCTTTCAGAGAACAATTTTTGATTTATTGCCTCATCTAGTTTTTAACTTGGGTTGTTAATAGAAGTTAAAAAGTTTCTAGAATTGTACTTACTTAGTGTGAAAATTCTTAGTCTGCGTTTTTATGAATAAGGATTTATAATGAAAACCACAAATGTAGCTGCAAGCTACTTTTAGATTGTCCTGCATTGCACTCCCCCTCACCCCATGCTGAATTGACATAAACATATCATAAATGAGTAAGAAAACTTTGGCCTAACCTGCTGTTTTTGACTCATTCCCATCTTTCTACTTTGTAACTGGTTCTGCAGTCTCTTTAGTTCCTCCCAAAATGGCATCAATGGTATCTAGTAGCAGTGTCTGAATAGAAGTAAAGATCTAGCTTTAGGCTTTCTGTTTTTAAATTACTGAAATTGATGATGACAAAGAAAGATATGTCCTAATGATGAAATTGCATGAAGAGGGAATGGAGCAAACAATAGAAGACTCCATTTGAATCTCAGAAATGTAGGCACTGTCTGCACCTGAAGTGCCAAGTGCTACTGTGTACCAGGCAGTACCATGGCCTGCAGCCTGGTATTCACTAGCCTGCTTCACGACCCTTCTTCTTTGCATCTCCATTTCATGCATGTGAGCAATGCAGTGTCAGACTTGGTGACTCTCATACCTGAACAACAGATTGTACATCACACAAATGGAATCCTATGGAATTTGACTTGGGGGATGAAGTGGGGGGAAAGTCACTAAGAACAACTAGAAATATACTGCGTTGGTTGATTCTTCAGTGAAAGGTGTATCCTTCCACTTTCCCAGCATTAGCAAAGTGCTTAGACCACCTTTTTTTTGTGTCACTGTCACCTTCTTCTTGTCACTGTCACCTGATGTAAACCAAACAGAGCAAAGTGTTTTGCTCTGCATGTAGCAGGGTAAGTTAAAAGATGCAGTTGAGAGGTGTATTTATATGGTCTGGACATAGACACTGGTCTTTAATTCCATGGTTGCACCTTTTTGCTGAGAGAAGTGTTGGCATGACCTATTTTTCCATTGCAGCTGCTCATTTCTACTCCTGCATCTTCCTCTTAGTTGTGTCAACATTTTTTTTCCCTTTTTTCTTTTTCTTTTTTTTTTTTTTGATCAGGTTATTTTTCAGCCATGGCTGACTCATTTTACAGTTTCATAAATGATTGTGACTGTTAGTAAGGAGGAAGCAGCACACCACAATGCTAGACTAGGAGTAGCGAGCAGTAGAGCAGCAGAAGGAATGCCTTTCATTGGCCCTACTACGGAATGTGAAACCTTGTCCTAAGCCCCTTTCTTTTCTCATCCACCATTTTTCATAACTTTTCTTCTATACCTTTCTAATCCTCTTCATCAGTGCTTCTCAATTGCTGGCTCTTTCATTAGATTTCGCCTGCCATTTCCCGTATCTCTACTGCATGAATAATTAATGAGTTAAAATAATGAAATAATTTTCACATTGTGATTCCTAGCCTCTGGAATTAATTCTGTGTTGCTGCTCTGCTTGCCATTCCCTTCATCTTGTATTTATTGTGTCTGGTTGCTGAGATTGCATCTATTCATATGAGAGGGAGAGACTGACGCTGACTCTACGCACAGCACAGACAAGTTCTGATTGAGGCTTTCATACACTACAGTAATTTTATGTGGCAGTTCATTTTTAAAATGCCCTGAGTTTTATGACCAATTAACTTTTT